AGTGTAACAATAGCAGACAAGAAAACACATCAGTAGTTGATACCACTTAATTAATATATTTAATTTATTTCTAATCAAATATGCACCTATATTGGCAGTTTTTTTCAAGGAACTATGATTTTTAAAAAATATAACTTCAAAAATGCAAAAAAAAAAAAATTTAATTAAATTCCATTTGTAGTAGGCAATTACATAAAACGTCGTCAAATATAAAAATAAATATCATTTATTTATTTTTTAAATTTTATTTAACTACTCAAACATCTTCTCTTCAGATGTTTACTACACGAATATTTCTAGAAAAAAAAAATGGCAAAGAAACTTAACCGAGCCTACTTGATAGGATTTTTTTATTTTATTTTGTGCATAGTTGGTCTCTCCATATTGGTTTCCTTTACGCTCAACCATATCTTAATTACAATTAAATTATTTCATTCTAAATAAATTTATATTACAGCTAATTATTGTTGAATAAGAGGAGGTGAGGAGGTTAAAAGCAGGAAATTGCTGTTAAAGGGGAAGGAAGCCGTTTTCCAAATTCGCAAGCTGCTAAGAAACAACAGCCCCAACCAATTGCATACAAATCCCCAATTACCAACGGATTAACAAGTCCACTCCTACTCTTTCTGCTGGAACTTATAAGACCTTTTTTTTTTTTATAACTATACTATTTAACCTAGATTATATAAAATAATTGATCAATTATTTTTTGATAAAATAACTTTATAAAAAATCCGTAGTACAGACCCATTTTTATCGAATTATTAACATCTGCATAAAACTTCATGAATAGCTTCCTCTCATCGTAACCCAAAACTATTTTATTTACGAAAATTCTCGGAATCGGATCGTTTTCAATCTGAATAACGGCATATTTTTTCAATTTAATTAGGTATTATTAGAGTGCTACCATTGGGTAGTTTCTCAACAAGTGTTTTCACGTCATTATATCTATATGTTCAAATTTACTAAACGTATTTCTTTAAGACAGTTGTTAATATCATTAAGAAATAAAAAATAAAAATAAATAATTAGGTACTAAAAAATCGTAAATACGTATTCGCTTCCACTTTGACCGAAATCGAGAATAAAAATGATAATATCATGTACTAGGTTATCTATAGATATTACTATCGATTGTCCTATCACAAACATAAAACGAGATCTATACAAAGGCATAGCAAATCTCGTTCTGTGTGCATGTCCTTATTATTTTCATAGCACCTTTTTATTTATTTTTGCCTTGATCCTTTTAATGTTTCATTGTCTTCATAATAGTCCTTTTACTGCTTAAAAGCATTGTAAGGTTTATTTTTTGTTGTTTCTGAGTATTTTGTTCTTCATCTGTAATATAAAAGGTGATGGGACTCACATCAGGCTTGAGTTGACCTTATCCTCTAGAGCTTACAACTAAATTAATAAAACACCTATCTTATGTGAGTTGTTGCCAACGTTTTGGAATTTTGGCTGGTAATCCTCTTACAATTTTTCTAATTATTCCATTTTGAAAATATTGTAATCTTTTCCCGGATATTTTGTTGATATGCTCGAACAGAAGTGCCTTCAGTATCATGTAGCAGTTAATATGTTATTTTTTCTATTGTTATTATTGGGTATGAAAAGTGTTAGCTCGTTTCAAATAACGATAGTCCGTAAAACAGACTCCTATTTATCAAATTATTAACATCCGTGTGAAACTTCGTAAACAGCTTCATCTCATGGTAACCTAGTTGTAGTTGTTTTATCTTTTTTTTTTTAATTTTATTTTATTGAGATTTACAACTGTATTACATGGAAAATACAATAAGTAAATGTGACATTGGTAACATGACATGTACAGCATGAAGAGAAACTACCCATTGGTAGAACTTAAATTAAAGTTCTATATTAGAAGGTCCCGAGGTCACCTTCTTTTCCGACGCGTCGGAGGATTATCAGAGATCGAGGAGGAAGCAAGGTTTGAAACGAGAGGATTCAGATGGTTCTGCAGTTTTTTATGGAAGGATAGATATCTAGAGTGGGCCAAATTGGAAACATATGGAACATTAAGGTCTTTATGGATGATTTTATTTGTGACAAAGTAAGGAGCGTTGAGGATTTTACGAAGGATTTTGGATTGTAAGGATTGGATACGAGAGGAATTCGATGGTTTAGTGGAGGCCCAAAGCTCAATTCCGTAAGTCCATATAGGTCTTATTATTGTCATATATATGAGTCGTTTGTAATTGATTGTGAGCTTAGAGCGTTTGTCTAGTAAGTGCTGCAGTAGTCGAAAACGTCGGGCGGTTTCAAGTCGTTTCAGTCTGTTATGGGGGTTCCAAGTGAGTCGTTTGTCAAGGTGGAGTATCGGATTTGTCGGACCAGTATCGGATTTGTTCGACAGGGATAAGAGGGCTATTGTTGAAGGATACTGTAGGACAGGAAGTCATAGGTTTACGGCGAAGAGTGAAGGTAATTTGATGGGATTTATTGGAACTATTTTTTTTTTTATTTTATCTACAAAAACTCTTGGAATTGGGACGTTTTCAATCTGGAGATCGGCAAACTTTGTCTATTTAATAAGGTACTAAAAAATCTTAAATACCCATTTGAATTCCACGTTGATCGTAAGATAATTTGATCGCAAAATCCAGAATAAATATGGCTGTTTGACGTGACTACCCTCCCCCCCCGTTATGTCAAAATAAGGAGATTATCTAGGCCAAACAATACAATATATTTGGAGACCACTTTTTTTTTTTTTTTTTTGATTATCGACAAGTGGAAAGACCGTATATATTTATGAGTTTTTTATATCTAGTTAAAAAAATTAATTAATACCTTACTAACTATAAATTTGTTTTTCCTTATCTAAACGATTGACGCGCAGCACTAAATTTAGAAACGGAATTTTCTTGGTTAAACTTTTTTGTCGGCCCTTCCTTGACGTATTTTACTCTGACGACATCGCAAATATTTTACTTCCGTCGCCGTTTTAAAGCTTATGGTGATAGGGGCCTTAATTAAAATCTTTTCGAGACTCGCGGAATCTTAATTATCTTCTAAGCATACTTTTGTGTATATAATATCCACAATTTTTAGGCATTGATTTATACGTTAATTTTTATTTTTTACATACATTATTAATATACTCAATACCAGCTTATCATTCAACAACACACCTTCGACAGAAGGATGACATCTGGTCCGCATGTTAAAATGAAACGTAAGACACTTAACAAACGACTCAAAGTACTTTACTCTCTATTTTCTAAATCTTCAAACCTAAAACTAAAACAGAAACTGAATACACATACATACTTACTTAAGCCCATATGAACATACTCATTATAAATATACGGCATCGCTAAAAAGACCCACCTACAAAAACTTCAAACATTCCAATACAAATTTTTGCGACTCATAACAAAAGCACCTTGGTACGTGACTAACAAAACTCTACATACCCTCCACTTTCCAACAGTTATTGACCAACATATAACGACTCTTTATCAACGATTTTACACTAATTTAAATGGACATAATAACAGACTTATAAGAGACATGGCCACAGCTGACATATCTCAGAACATGAGCAGGAGACTAAAAAGGCGTTGGATGAGGGATCTCCTTCCTTCGAAAACCTAAGTAATTGGAACAAGTTAGGGAAGAGGTACTGCTGAGTACTTTCCTTCCCCATGCCTGCCATGTCATTATATCATGTATCGCCATCACATTTGCTGATTGTCAACAATACGTTGACACGTTTGTGGGCGGAGTGGCCGAATGGGTTAACGCGTGTGCAGTGCACTTCCGTTGCCCCCGGCAACCTGATTTATGACTTATTGATATAAAAATAGTTACAAGTTCGCGTCCCGGTGCCGTAGGAGTCTTTTAAAATCCCTGCACACACCCTCTGGCACAGGAAAACCCCGTATAGCCTTAACGGCGAGGAAGGGGAGGACCCAAAAAAAAAAATCTATACTAATGTTTATCAATCTGTTGGTACAACAAAATATTTCGAGTTGAATGAAAATTAAATAAAAATAACTTTGGTTATAAAAATGAATATATAATTCTTAGAAAGATTTCAGATTTATTGAAAGTAATTCAGTTTAGCTTGGGATTATTCAAAACAAGTGCAATTTGGATGAGTTTTCATTCATTGAAACCTATATCAAGTACTATAACCTGCCAATATATTTTTGATAAATATATAATATATAACCTTTGATAAATTGCTTTGTACTATTCATCATCGAGACCCCAAGGGACGCCGTTTCTCATTTTTATGCGGAGTTAAAGTGGCTTTATTCTTCCTACCGTCGTAATTATTTCTTGGCATTTTGGCATTTTCTTGGCTTTTCTCTTTCAAGTCATCCAATCCCACCGTCCCTCATACATCTCCGAGCTCCTTCAATTCAAATCCTCTGTTCGTTCCCGCAATACTCGTTCCCGGTCTTCTGATTTATACATAAGGGCCCACCGAACCGTTGCTTTCGACAGATCGTTCATTATCCGATCCTCATCCCTATGAAACACCATCCCTTCCCATATCCGTCAATCCAATACCCTTCCTACCTTTAAATGCCTCCTGTTCAATCATTTCTTATTCATCCAGTCCCCATAAAATTGTAAATAGATATTACTGTAAGCATGTACATAAATTATTAGTTCGTTCTTCATTATTTTTACTCCAATTTTTTTTATCAATGTTTTTATTATTAACTGATCAAAATTAGAAAGTAACTTTATATATATATATATATATATATATATATATATATATATATATATATATATATATATATATATATATATATATATTCCACTAAGACTATTCAATTACTCTGTACTTTTATTTATGTATCTGTGAGGCTCCTTAGTCCACATTTCTGTCTTTCTGTTTAGTATTATTATTATTTTAGAAGACAAATTACAATAAAAATGTAAAATAAAATAATAATAGTTTAGATAGAATCCACTACACTTGTAGAATAATAGAAAAGAAGTAAAGTGAATTAATAATATATTAGGACTGACCTGTCAACGGAGATGGCCATGAGAGTGAAGACGCTGGCACATATCGAGAGAACGGCGACGAACTGGCTGATCTTGCAATAGGGGCGACCGAAGGGCCAATCGCTGTTGACCATGTAGGTGTAGTTGAAGGTGACGTTGAGGCTGGAGACCATTGCGTCGGCGATGGCCAGGTTCACCAAGAAGTAGTTGGTGACGGTCCTCATCCTCTTGTGGGCCAGGACGATCCAGATGACGATGAGGTTGCCCCCGGTGGCCACGATGACCATGCCGGCGAAGAGGAAGGTCCAGATGAGCTGCTTCCACCAGGGGAGGATGAACTGGTTCTCCGGCTCCTCGAGGCTGAAGTTGCCGGAGCCATTGGCCCACCCGAGGCTGTCGTTGTGAGTGCTCATCTTATCTTGCACATCGCTCCCGTTCCCTCACTGCCTCTCTGCAACAGGTACAAATACTGGTAAGTTAGCTTGTAGTAAAGAAAAATAGTACAGAAACAAGGAGATAGAATAACATTATTTTCATAAAAGAATTCTGCCCAGTTATATTGGGTTGCTACAAACACAGCATACTCATTAATCATTATAGACAATTTTATAATTAATAGACAACAGTATTAACACAAATATATATATATATATATATATATATATATATATATATATATATATATATATATATATATATATATATATATATATATATATATATATATACATATGAGCATATTGAAGGAATCTAGTCGACTGTTCTACAAATCATTGGTGATACATATTTAGGACGCATTCAATATACAAATTTTTTATTTGTGCCGACGTTTCAACTTGTTGATGAACCACATGTTTGGGTTGAAACGTCGGAACAAATAAAAAGCTTTTGTAATGACTGCGTCCTGAATATTTATCACCCATTATACAAGCATATTATACATTTATATATATATATATATATATATATATATATATATATATATATATATATATATATATATATATATATATATATATATATTATTTTTATATTCTATTTATTTATTTTTTGACAATTGCTTTCATTCATTAACATTCTACATCGCTTTCTTTTCCTTCTCTGCCCTTATACATTGCTCTTATTGCTTATTATAGTATCTCATCTCTCTTCATAACTGAATTAATAAAATACAGTGGACTTATTCAATAAATAATATAAAAGTGCTGTAACACACGCATGCCTCCCTCCCATGAACAAACCCTCTTCCAATCCGCTCCCATGCACATGGTGGTGGATGATTACCAGGGACTCGAGGTTTATATTCCTTGCCACGCCCTTTATGTCGACACCAAGGCCCTCCATGAAGCTCCTTTTTGAGTTTGGTATCGTACCGCGAGATTCGAACCAAAGACCTCTCACTCCCTCAACTCTCTCAGACCGAAACTCTCTCGGAACTTTTCATTAAGGAAAGGGATGCATTTCTCATATGTTTTTTCTTTTCAGTTTGCCTGTCTAATCGAGGTCATTGGTCTCACATCTCACGACAGGATCCAAAATCATCGCCGACTTTCCCGTCTTAGGGAATACTACAATGTCGGCATATCGGGTAGATCCATCCGTATTAATGTAATTTACTTCCTCGAAACAGATGTAATATTAGTCTCTAAGGACCCTCATAAGTTCATACTTTACTCTATGATGACGGCGTGTTATAAGAAAGGAGTTATTGGGGCATTTTCCAAGCACATGTACTAGTGTTTTTGTGTGTGTTTTTGCCTTTGATGGACTAAGGGCCGAAATGATCAGAAAAATGGGAATCTATGGCCTCACGGAGGATGAATTTCCCGGGTTAGTGACGGAGCAGAACTACCCGTATTACAAAGATTTTGTGTACGGGTGGAAAGCTGCTCTGGGACCCTCTCACTTTAATCTAGGAAGAGAACCTGCTAATAGAAGGCCACCAGACTAATATATTGAAAATAATGGAAAAAAAGAAGATATGTGAAAAACAAAACAAAATTGAAAATTAATTTGTTGTTTAATAGCAGGAATGGCATGCACGTGTGTGATATGCCATCCCTGCAAAATCCCGTGTAGCCGAAAGGCAAGGAAGGGAGGCATAAATAAATAAATAAATAAATAAATAGTGTTTTTGTAAAAAAAAAAAAGGATATAGTCCGAGAGTTATTCACTGATTGGTAGTTTCTTACAAGCGAATCGATCGTAAGGTGAATCTATTGTAGGAATAAGAAAGATAGAAAAACTGGAATACTGAAAACGAACAGAACACATACCCCTTAGAGAAAAGGACAAAAAATGGAATGAAGAAAAGACTCAATTGGAAAACAAACTCTTAAAACTGAATACAATTACTAAGATGTATTTTTTGCCCAGATCTACCTCGCATTTAAGACTATATGGTTTTTTTTTTTTATAATGTTACAATATATAAAGGTCGAATTATAAAAAAACATCGTAATATTATATATATATATATATATATATATATATATATATATATATATATATATATATATATATATATATAATATATATATATATATATATATATATATATATATATATATATACATACATTTTGTATTTCAGAGTTTATATGCTGGCATACGTGCATTTTTCGGGCCTGTCGACATGATCAATTTATAAGGACAAAACTTAGTATGATATAAGTCATCGTTTTTGCCAAGGGCTCATTACTTTACATTGAATGGAAGTTTGGCTAAGTTCTTAATCCTACGGATAAAAGCCCGAGGAATAAGTCTTTAATTTCTAGGACGATTTAACACTAAACTATTAGAGGGATGAATGGTAGGTAGTTTGAGGCAGTCAGACGAAATGAGGACAGAATGGACATCACTATGCTACCCAGTAATCCAGGCTAGATTAGTAGCTGGCTTAAGCGAATAGTTCCACTCGTCCGTATATGTAAATAAGTATGTACAACAAGCTATATAATTTATTCTCTTTTTATTTATTTATTCTAGATAATGTGATAAGCAAAATAACATTAAGCTGCGTGCTTTACACCACACGATAGAAGCGAAAAAAAATCAAAAAAGCGAGATTAATCATATAAAATACAAATTATAAATAATAGTTTATAATAAAGAGAAAGAAATACTGAACATACCTATTGTCTATTTTATTTATTCTTTCAAGCATTTGCTTCACCCCCATTGAGTTCTTTACATCATAGTTACTATCTGATTTTAGGTTATTGAGTGTAGCCATATTGTTTTGTTTCCCATTGATATTAGTGATAATAGAAGTAAGTGTAGCGCCACTTTTATGTAACTTTACTAATCCATGTATTCAAGTTGTATTGTAGTTAGGGTTAATTATTTTAATTTCGTTTAATAAAAAATTTTGAAAGTTAATAACAAAGTTCTATTACATAAACTATTGACATGAAAGCAAGTCCAATCTAAATGTCCTTAATGATTAAAAATTTACTTATTTAAATTAGTGATACCCTTCGACGTAAACCTATGACCTCATGTCCCACAGTATCCTTTAATAATACCCCACTTATCCCTGTTGAACAAATCCGATACCTTGGACTTCATTTGGACAAACGTCTAACTTGGAATCCTCATACCAGACTGAAACGACTAGAAACCGCCCGACGTTTCCGACTACTCCAACACTTACTAGACAAATGCTCTAAACTTCCCCTTAATTACAAAAGACTCATATACTTGACTATAATAAGACCTATTTGGACTTACGGAGTTGAGCTATGGGGCTCCACTAAACCATCGAATTCCTCTCGCATCCAATCCCTACAATCCAAAATCCTTAATGCTCCCTACATTGTCACAAATAAAATCATCCATAATGACCTCAATGTACCATATGTTTCCGATTCAGTTCAATCCAGATACCTGTCCTTTCATAATATACTTCTGAACCATCCGAATCCTCTTGTTTCGAACCTTGCTTCCTCTTCGATTCCTGACAACCCTCCGAGGCGTCTGAAAAGAAGATGGCCTCGTGATCTTCTCATGTAGACAAATTATTAGAATGCTACCAGTGGGTAGTTTCTCAACAAGCGTGTTTCATGTAATAATATTTCTCTGTACAAATTTACTTGATGTATTCATACTAATACAGTTGTAAATATCATAATAAAAGTTTTAAAAAAAAATTAGTGATATTTACTAGTTTATATTGTATCCAACGACTGTATAATATTTATGTGGAACCATCCATTTGGAAGGATATACAATGCTATATTATTATTATCATTTATATTATTTGTCTTCTTGTTTTTTATATATTGTTAATATGGTTGTAAAAATAAAATTTTGATGTTGTAATAATGTTAGCATTTGTATTATATATTAACAACAACTCGTTATTATTTGGTTAAGGTCACTATATTTTCCCTCTCTAACACGGTGTCGCGTTATGATACAATTTTGAATTATTGCCAATAGGCTAGCTTGTAATAACAAAGACGATGAAGTGCTAAACAATTTCCTCGTTTACAGTATACATGCCCGATATTTAGTTTCTGGGGTATTTTAATTTAAATTTAAAAACATTTCAATTAGTTGACTCAAGACGATTTTATCCGGGAGTTAACACTTCGGAAATGAAATGAAAATAATTTTATTATTCTGGGACTAGTGTCCCTTTAGAACAAATCACAAATATAGATTATATATCATTATTTTGGTGTGTCCATGAAATACTATAAAATCTGACAGATCAATCTAATTCACTCTCCAAAAAAAAAAAAATAATAAAAAAATAAAATAAATAAAAGAGAGCGTACCGTGTTTTACATTTATCTTTATTTGTATACAAGCTCTCCGAGGATTTCTTGAATTTATACAAATCCCACGAGATAGAGACCAATATTGAGAGCAGAGGGGGATTTGTTCGTTTATACAAGAGAAGTGCTTTTGTATGTTATAAGTAAACGGATGGAACTAAATGGAATGAAAAATAAATAAAAATATATGAAAGCATTTGAGTTAAAAAAAAATAGAGAAACTAAAGTTATATCTTGTATACACCTATTAACATGAGAAATTGAATGTTGCTTACGCTGACGATAAAGCAATTCTCACAAAACACCATGACACTACACAAGCTTCACTGACGTTACAACAACATTTAGATAAATTACAAGACTGTTACAAATCATTGAAAATTCGACTAAACTCTGATAAATCGAAACACATTACATTTACACTTCAAAGAGATACCTGCCCTCCAATTTATATCGAAAACAACCAAATTCCTCAGACGGACACCGTACAATACCTTGGTCTTATCTTTGACAGAAGGATAATAAGGAGAAATTAGTAAAACAAAGCCAAAAACCAGAAATATTACTATATCTAAAAATTTTTAAAGTTGTAGATTTGGCTTGAAAAAAGGTTATTTTACTATTTTTGTATTTT